CCGCAATGTATTTCAGTGAGTGCAATCATACCTCTTTTCAAGCTGTTCAGGAAAGAAAAAGCTGAATTCTTTAACCCTTGGGACACGGGCTGGTCGTGCAGGGTGTAACCGTGCCATGAGACAAATGCCCTGCATCTGCGTGGGGCTGCTGAGCTTCACTGGGGCTCCGGGAGAGGGGGGGAGGCTGCTGCCCAAGGGGAAACCAAGGCAATGAGGGCACAAGATGGGGTCTGGGTGCTGATACCCCAAAGCTTTGGGTGCTTTTGTGAGGTTTGCAGGGCAGGGGTGTGAGGGGCGCGTTCACCGTCCTCTGAGGGTCACCGGGATCTGAATTTAGATGAGATTTAAAAAAATGAGCTCGAGCTGGAGAGCGCGTGTCCTGCCTTGGCAAATAGGAGCGGCGCGGCCGCGGCGCCGGCAGGTGGGCACCGACAGCGGCTGCAGGAACCAGGGGTGCTGGGGGAAGGCTGGCACCCTGCAGTGCTCTGGGGATGCTCGTTTCCTTGGGGGGGGTTGTAGGAAAAGCATTGAAACAAAACCGGTGTGGAGCTCAGGTTTGTGCAGTGTCACCCGCTGTGGGGCTGTGACATCGGTTGGGCCTTTGGGCTGTTCTCCTTTATGGAAGGGAAGATGTTGGGAGGGCGGCACCTGAGTGCTGCTGTGTCCGTGTCCGTGTGTCCGTGTGTCTGCATCCGTGTCCACGTCTGTGTCTGTGTCCCTGTCCCTGCAGCGAGGCGCTTCGTTAGCGCAGAGATTTTATTCCAGGCAATTTCACTCTGATGGGTTTCCGCTCTTATCATGCAAAAGGACCCAGCACATGATGCCGGTCGAGTTCTCAATTAACAGCCCCCAGGGATGAGGATGAGAGATGCAGCACGGGGGCACTGCGGGCGCTGGGACTCCCATAGACCGGGGTCATCCCCCTCAGCCACCCCATGGGGATTCCTCAGGCCGGGGGGGGGCTGTGGGGTTGGGGCAGCCCCATCCTTCGGCCAGCAGAGCAGGCCGGGCTGTCAGGCAGCACTAACGGTAACGAATGCCCCTAATGAAGCACCCAATTAGCCAGGATCCCAGCCTTAATGGTAGCTGACAGAGCTGAAAGCTGCGAGTAGTCAATTGTCAAGTGCAACATCCCATCGGAGGGAGACGCCAGGGCTGCTCCATTCATCTTTGTCACGGAGAAACAGAGCTCCTGCCTTAACCCTTGGGCGCTGGGCGAGATCCGCAGCCCTATAGACCCCATGGCCCCATGAGCCCCACAGGCCCCATGGCCCCACAGACCCAAGGGCCCCACTACCACCAAGGCCCCACAGTCACTCCAAGGCCTTACAGGCCCTGTGGCCTCCACAAGCCTCATGGCCTCATAGGCCCCACAGGCCCCACAGATCCCACAGGCCCCACAACCACTCCAAAGCTCTGCAGGCCCAGTGGCTCCCATAGGCCCCACAGGCCCCACAGATCCCACA